CTTTGGGTAAGAAGACTCGAAGCTGGTATATGCTTTCTGTTTCGCGTTCACAGTAGTCCTAATCTCCCATAAATTGACGCTCTTATTCCGGTAAACCGACCTTAAACCACTCGCAACTCCTCCATGATAATTTCACCACCCCTTAGCTCCACATCTAATCGTTCTCGTGCTTTTGCCTCCAAATATGCTTTTATTTGGAACAATCGTCCACTCGAAATTAGGCTGTCTACTACATTTCCGATTTTCAAAGGCAAATTTAGCAAGCATTTAAATTTGGAGTAAATAAACTCGTTACTCTCTCTTTCCTTTCCAAACAAGCATCTTGGAAATTTCTAAATGGGTCGTCCTGGCATTTGAAGCTCTTCCCAGTATAGTAGAGTGGTTTCTTAATATGTTATCATTTTTTAATTTGCAGACTCCAGTACCACTTCCAAATGCTGCAAACTCTTCTCCGTTTTGCAACATTGGCGGTGGTCTTCGAGGTCGCTATTCATGGTCATCGCGTGTTCTTACGTTGTCGCCAACTTGTCGGTGGAGTCTGGAGTCTGGTGGGTCGCATCTCGGAGATGTTACCTTGACTTCTGCTGCCTCCTCCTCGATGCAATCCTGGTGTACCATATGACCCTTAACTCACCGCCATGATGCCATATGATTTTTTTCCATTTGACATCGATGGCTCGCTGGACTCAGCCACCAACGTAGGAGTTTTTTACTGCCCAGACTATTATTTCATAAGAGTTCGTTGTTAATCGGATCTAACTTACCATTTTACCACGCGTAACATACTACTAACTCCTGTTGTCATACAGTTGCTTGCGCGCAGCTGTGATCACCAATTTTGTATTATTTTTCCTTTTACGATAGCACTAAATTTGTAATGAAAGGGCCCCTTGGGCCTTAAATATACAGTTTATTTATTTAAGTGTATTTAAGGGTGGTAGGCTTATATAATTGAATTTTCTGTTTGTCACATAGAGGTAGGATGAATTAATAACAATATAGGGCAGTAATCTAGCCTGTTTAACAAGACTTGGTTTCAAAATTTCACAGTATTTTAGAGTCAAAAAATCCATTTATTGCTCCAGCTTGTGTCAATCATGGTGATATTTGCCTGCCTCCACAGACTGAAACATAGCAATCGCCTTAGCAGGTTATTTTACGGTTCCCCGCGGTTGGAGAAAATATAATTTGCCATATCCAATCTGATTGTGAGCACACGTAACTTCGAGGGATGCCTTGAGACTGACTATAGCTATGTAATGTACAAGGATCCCACACTGGGGCCCACAATACAAATCTTGCGCCACATGGAAGGTTTATATTAGGTCCCCATGCAATTTCCAAAAATTCAAAAGCCGAGCCATGCTTAGGACCAATTCATTCGGATTAAGACGATATTATTGCGTGGAGCTCTACGTAGCTAACGAATTTATGAACTTCCAGGTGTCGTTACATGTGCTTTGGACCTGAAAGGCTGCCACAACATGCTAGTTTTCAAGTTTGTCCAATGACTGAGTGATCGAACATAAAGGGTATATAACAGTGTTCCGGCAGACACACTTGGCATTATCCCAGGATGGGCGCATCCTGAGGAATAGATCGGTGCTCAAACAAATAATAAAGGGTATATGTTTAAGTTATATCAATAACCCACATCCCTTACCTTACGTCGATTGAATAACCGGCAAGGCTGCCCAGATTTGCAACTACATTTCTTATAATATCTACCTTCCTGAAATTAAATTAAGACTTTAAAATGAATGACTGAAAACCTTCGCGTTCCAGGTATTTGCATGAATGAGGAAGAAGGGATCAATTTGTGCATTGTCCTATGCTTTCGGGCTCTTGCTGGAGAGCATTGTCAAAGATAAAAGCAAATCAACCGCTATACGGGGGCAGGGATGGAGGAGACAACTCATTAATCGCCAGTGTCGGATGGCCGGATATTCCTGCGGATGGCGATATATGCCGGCGCCAGATCGATAGACTGATTGAATTCCCATCCGAAGCCGGGGCTTCAATCAATTCTCGGCCTGTCCTGCTGCCAGCATGGACGATTACCGCTGCAGCTGCGAATGTAAACTCGTGACTCGTCTCGTACATGTGGGCTGCCACTTGAAACATTGCGTCATCCTGTCTAACAGTCAGATTATGTTCGTGTATGCGCGAACGCATGCCTACAGTTTGCCCTGAATAGTTACAAGGAGACCTTAAGTATAACAGTTGGCTGGCTCCTGTCCCTTATAACATTGTTTATTTTTCCTGGATGCTTTTAACTCTAAAGATAGACTCCCAAAAGAGCCTGAAGGCTTAAGACGATAAAAAAATTGAGCAGGGGCACATCAACGCTTCTTTCTCACTTAGAAGACTTCATCGTATGTTTGTGCTTCCTAGTTTTGAATACTGCTGCCCATTCGTCGGTCTAATGAAGGAAGCTAGCCGTTCAAAAATCGAAACTTTTAAAAGGCATTTAACAATAAAACTCTGATATCCGACACCTTCAAATACTCCTCGCTCAAATCGATGCCAGCTGAATAAACTAACATTTTTTTAGTTTAGGGGCCCGGAAGCAGTTTTCTGTATCCCGTTTCGCTATAAAAATGTCCGAACCTCCCCAAGATTTCTGGGCTTACCCCCTTTACTCGTAATTACTACCGACTAATTTTCTGCACTGATTATTCCTCCTCCTACGTTCTCCACTTCTAAACGCTCTCTTTTCTTTGCTTCCAGGTACAGTAGTCGCCGTTTATTAAGCCCACCTCGGACCCAGACAAAATTGGGCTTAATAAGCGGCTGGG